AGCTGTGCTTTGCCACAATTCTGTCTCTGAGCTCTTCAGGCAGTTCCTTTGACCTCATAATTCTCATTTGCTCTGACATGCACTGTGAGCTGTAAGGTCTTATATAGACAGGTGTGTGGCTTTCCTAATCAAGTCCAATCAGTATAATCAAACACAGCTGGACTCAAATGAAGGTGTAGAACCATCTCAAGGATGATCAGAAGAAATGGACAGCACCGGAGTTAAATATATGAGTGTCACAGCAAAGGGTCTGAATACTTAGGACCATGTGATATTTCAGTTTTTCTTTTTTAATAAATCTGCAAAAATGTCAACAATTCTGTGTTTTTCTGTCAATATGGGGTGCTGTGTGTACATTAATGAGGAAAAAAAAAAAAACTAAATGATTTTAGCAAATGGCTGCAATATAACAAAGAGTGAAAAATTTAAGGGGGTCTGAATACTTTCCGTACCCACTGTATATCTCTACAAAATGTTAAGAATTTTAACTAAATTAGACAAAATAAAAATCGCATTGTTTTTTTTTTCTCATTCAGTACTTCTCTGAATAAGCTATTTAACAGATGTTATGTATGCATATAGTCCACTAGATAAAATAATTAGATGAATTTACACAAATGTCCCTGTTCAAAAGTTTATGAACACTTGATTCTTAATGTGTGTCATTAGCTGGATGATCAATGACTGTTTCTTTGATTTGTGAAAGCTGTTCAGCTGCCCACTGCTCTTGTGAAAAATCCTCCAGGTCCTGCGCATTATTTGCATCTTCATCATATTTGACCCCTTTCCAAGAGTGACTGCATGTTTTCACACTGAGGACAATTGAGAGACACGTGCACCACTATACGAGCTTTCGGAAAACTTTTGGAACTGAATGATCAAGGTAAATTGTACTTGTTTTGTGTTCTGGGAAACATTTAAATAATTTCTGTAGCTTCTGAAGGGCAGTACTGAATGTAATAATAAGATGGTTAAGCAAAATTTACACCTCATTGTCCTTCTCAAATGTATTCACGCTCAGATCTTAATGCATCATGTTACCGCCTTGAGCATCAGTGAATGTTTAAAGCTTTGGTAACAGTTGTGTATGAATCCCTCAGTTGTCTTCAGTGTGAAAAGATGGATCTTAATTATATAGGCACTTTTGGAAAGAAATCAGCACCCTTTGAAAGTCATTGTATGAGTTGTATACCGCATCTGTGTACTTCTTCCTTTGAGACACAGCCTACATTTATAGATTTGTGAAACTCCAGCACTGGGAGATGTTTAAATTGACATGAACAATCATCTGCAGAGATGAACAATTATAACATGAGTCACAAATGATGATGTTCTTTGACTCAGGAGTGAATGATTTTAGTGTTCGGACGTATTGATTCTGTCACCATGTCTTGTTTGCTAATCCTCTGAAATTAATATTTCGCCACAGAATATTGTGGGATCAGCAATAATAAACCCGCACTGAGACTTTGAATTTCACATCAAATAATGCAAACGGGGCAGCGGTTTTCCCACTTGTGCAAGTCAAAGAATATAAATGTCACTCGAAAGAAAGATTTATATTTTGCAAAGTTGTATGACTGGATGAAAGCTTCTGCCTGCTCCATTAGATCCTAATCACTTTTTATCCCGCTTTTGCCATTATTTTTGCCCATCTCTCTTGCATTATGCTAAATTGTATGGCTTATTGTGAAGAAATAAATCACACTGCCTTCTAATCGATGACGGAATAAAGACTGTATCTTAAAAAGACTCTATAGGTTGTATTTTAGAGTATGAGATGGAAAAGTATTATTGTCAGGCATATAATTCTGTTCTAGCTGGTTGATGAATGACTGAGCGCTGTTAACAATGCTCGCTATAACTCTAGAGCTTTTGCCGCAGCTGTCATATCGTGCCATATTATATAGATTTACACCTTACTGTATGTTGCCTTTGTTAAAATGGTTCAACTATAAAAGTTCCTTCTCAAATGAACTTTCAGTTAAAGGTGGACTCATTTTTTCCACTTTCCACAAAGCAAAAGTTTAACTTTATTTTATTTGTATACTTGTTATTTTTGACAATTCTTTTTTAGAAAAATGTAGCCCTGCATGAGATGGAGTCTCCTATCGGTGCCTTCGGCATAACTGTGGCTCCTCCTTACAAAGGGAGATCAAACTACAAAAAATAGTTTTGGCCCTGAGGCAAAAATGAGTATTTTATTTATGCCACATGTTTTTAAATGAACTGTCAGAAGCAAAGTATATTTTGTAATAACATCAATATTTCTTTACAAGGCAGTTTTACAATAAATTATGTTTTGTAAGGGTTTATAATTTGTGATATAATTTAGCTATAATGTAACTACATATAGGACACTTGATCAGCATAAATTCATAAACGAAAATTTTTCTAAAATTGTGGCACAGTAAGTGTACGACAAAATATTTAAATCAGTAAATAATTGTTGACAACATACATTTATACTATTTAAACAATTTCAGGGAAAAATGCATCACATAAGTATTATTTTTGTATTATTTGTGTACTATTAGTATATATTAATATTTTGAATTTTATATTTTCAGTTTTTAATTTTAGTTTTAGTATTTTGTTGTGTGCTTTCTTTCTTTCTTTACTGTTTTTTTTTTAATATTTCTGTTAAGCCTTTATTTTTCTTTATAGCAATTTAAGTGCTTCAACTTCTGGGCAACAATTTCTTTATTTTAAGTATTTAATCTGATTAATCTAATATTTAATGTAATTATATGAACACTCCAAAGAGAAAGAACAACTTGAAATCGCATCATATGACCCCTTTAAGTCGCTGGGGTATATCTGTAGCAATAGCCAAAAAGACATTGTATGGGACAAAATTATCAATTTTTCTTTTATGCCAAAAATCTTTAGGATATTAAGTAAAGATCATGTTCCATGAAGATATTTTGTACATTTTCTACCATGAATATATCAAAACTTAATGTTTGATTAGTAATATGCATTGCTAAGGACTTCATTTGAACAACTTTAAAGATGATTTTCTCAATATTTAGATTTTTTTTTTTGCACGCTCAGATTACAGCTGTTCAAATAGTTGTATCTCAGCCAAATATTGACAAACCATACATCAGTGGAAAGCTTATTTATTCAGCTTTCAGATGATGTATAAATCTCGATTTCAAAAAATGGACCCTTATGACTGGTTTTGTGGTTTAGGGTCACATATTTGCATACTGAACTGTGATTGGCTTTGTCTCTCCTGCATAGTCCTATATTTAACAATTCACAAGCTCCTTTGCACTGTAAAGTGTCTATGAATGGTTACAAAACCTGAAAAATGTTGCCTTCTCTAAGGGGGAAAAATACTCAAAATGTTAAACCCATGGGTTAAATTTAATTTTTATAATGTTAAGTTTCATATTGTTTGACTAACGTTTGAAGCAAAATACATTCTAAAACATAAGTAAACTGTAATCAAACCAGCTTGCATTCATACAGACAAGAACAACGCAACACATTTTTTGTAATACTGACCAGAAAATGTAAAAAAAAACATGTATTTCGGGCAACCAGGTGAGACACAGAGCCCACGACCGATCTAAAGTATCCAGATAGAAATTTGTTACCCATTCTCAATGGGAAAGTGCCCAAGCAACATTACTCAAATTGCTCAAAATTTTGCCCCATGTATCATCAGCCTTAGAGAGTGAGTGAATTAGAGAGTGCATGAATCTGCGGTTTGAATTTCCATCAGAAATAGTAGACGATCTGGGTACCTTTGGGATACTCACTTGAACATACTATGATTTGAGACACTAATTATCATTTTGAATACAAGATCTGACAGGTAGTATGCGAACTGGGATGCAGCAGCCACACAACTTTTTGGGATTTTACAACTTTACAGGAACATTGTGCTAATGCCTCACCTTAAAATTTGAAAGGACATTGATGACGTTTCATCAGAGTCTCTGAGTTGCATGGGGATAGGTTGGTGCTGTTATGAGCACGATGTTCTCATTATTGACATTGGTTCCACTGAGTTTGGTCGGGATGAGAGATTTTTGGCAGTAAGTGTGTAAACGGTTGATCCCATCGTGAGACCTATCCATGGTACTGAATCCCTTAACCTCCTTTTGAACCGCTGGAGAGCGTGAATATCAAGTTCTTAACCTTAAGGTTGGTTATAGTCCTTGCTTTAGTTTCAGCCAAGTGGGTGAGTAGCATGCTTTATCTGTTCACCCAGAATATCTGAGCTTTAACGCAGATTATAAGGGTATACAGTAAGGGTTTTGCTATTGCTTTCCTTTCGAAGGTCAGTGCTTTGTATGGAGGTACTGGAGTCAAGTGCCTTTTATATCTGCTGGAGATATTTGTGTGATGGCAAGCTGGCTTTCTCTACACTTTTTATCAAATTAAAGGAATAGCTCATGCAGAAATTAAATTTTGCTGAAACGCCATCCAAGATGTTAAATTATTTTGTTTCTGCATTACAATTTGGAGAAAATTGGCATCCAAACAGCTGATAAAAACATCACCATAATCCACACGTAATCCACACCACTCCAGTCCGTCAATGAGCTGCGTGTTTGTAATAAACAAATCCATCATTAAGGCATTTTAAATGTAAACTGTTACTTCTGGCCAAAACAAAACTCCATAATGTATAATAACGCTTCCTCCAGTAAAAATCTCCTGTTGTCTCTCACATCAAAATCCACCAACATATTTGTTT